AACACCTCTTTTCTGGGTGTTAATCAGCATCTAGTTAGGTTTTATTTCTGTGATAGACACCGTGACCAAAAGCAAGTTGGGGAAGAAAAGCTTTATTTGACTTATGCATTCTGATCACAGTCTATCACAATGGGGAGCCGTGGCACAAACCCAAGGCAGGTACCCAGAGGAAGGAACCAAAGCAGAGGCCGTGGAGGAACGCGACTTACAGGCTTGCTCTCCACGGCTTGCTTCCTTCCTTCCTTATCCCACCCAGGACCACCGGCCCAGAGGTGGCACACCTTCAGGGGGCTGAGCCCTCCCACATTAGTCAGTAAATCCAGAGATGCCCTCACAGTCTACAGACCAACATGAAGAAGACACTTTCTCATTGTGGGTCTCTCTTTCCAAGTGACCCTAGCTTAAGTCAAGTTGAGAGAAAAATAAAATAATAAGAAACTAACCAGTACAGCTAGACTTAGTGAGGGTCAGGAAGAAGGGTTCATTTGGCTCACCGTGTCCGAGTGTTTGGCCCGTGGTGGCTTGGCCTTCTGTGCTTGGGCAGAGCAATGTGGCAGAAGGAACATGTGGCAGATAAGGTTCTTTACTTCATGGTGGACAGGAAGTAGAGCTTACAGAAAGGCTGGGGACCAGTTATAGCTTTCAAAGGCATGCCCCTAGTGAACCTCCAGCTACCCTACTTCCTCATCCTCTTCTTAAAGTTTCCAGGACTTCCCAAAATAGTGCCCCTAGCTGGGAACCAAGTAAGTATTCAACACACACATCCCAACCATAAAACATGAGAGCTCGCAGCCCTCTAAGTTAACTTAAGAAGTCAGCACAGCAAGCCAGGAGGGGGCTCCGGGAAAGGGCACAGTGCGGTGAGAGAACACTTGTCTAACACTCAAGAGCCCTGGGTTTGATCTCTTTTTATTGTTTATTTATAACAGGGGAACGTGCATGTGTCACAGAAGGGCTACGTATATAGGTTCTGTGGAAGTTGGCTCTTTCCATCCACCATGCCAAGGCTGCAAGCGTAGTTTGGCTCTGAAAAGTCCCCCACGGGCTCATAGTGATTGTGACAGACTCTCTAGCCCACGCTGGCCTCAAGCTCAGTATTAACTGAGGATAACCTTCAACTTCGGATCCTCTTACCTCCACCTCTCATGGACTGAGATAACAGGTATGTGCCGCCTAGTTTATATTGTGTTGGGAATTCCCTCCAGGGCCACACGCATCCTCGGCAAGCACTCTACTGCTGGTTCTACATCTCCAGCCCCAATCATCTTGTCACTGGTCTCGTTGTTCGGACAGGGTCCCTTGTAGCTCAGGCTGGTCTCAAACTCCCTCTACCGGAGAATGACCCTGAATTTCTGGTCCTCCAGTCTCCATCCCATACTTTCTAAGCACTAGGATTACAGGTATGCACCGCCATACCTATGTGGTGTTGAGGATCAAGCCAGGGGCTTTGCTCAAATCCGAGTTGCCAGCCCCAGGCTTGTGCTTTGAATGCTTGCCCCACTAGTGACATGATTTTAGCATAAAATGAAAATAACATAAAAACAAAAAAATATGTTATATTCTCTCTATGTGGATCCTAACTTTATATATATGTATATATATATATATACATATGCATATATATACATATACACACATATACATACATATATATACACATACACACACACATATATACACTTGCGTGTGTGTGTGTGTGTGTGCGTGTGAAGGTCATAAAACTAGAAAACCAAACCTGAGAAGAAGAAAACTTTTAAAGAAGTCCCAGAATAATATAATATGTGTAGCATAAAGGTAGAAAGGGGAGAAAAGGGGCGGAAGGGTAAGGGGTCGGCAGGAAGAAGGAAGAGGGAAATGCGATGAAACAAAGTCTTCCTCCCGTAAGATCCTTCTGTCAGATGTTCTAGCCACACCAACACAAAATTCCCCAGTGTAAACACACTCCTGTGAACCTGGGTCCTTCCAGCTCATTTCAGAGGCCAGACAGCAGCTCAGCACGTACTGCTCCTGTCAAAGACCGGAGTGTGAATCGCCACCGACCGGCTCCCATAACCATCTGTAACTCGTGCTCCATGGGACCCAACGCCTTCCTCTGACCTTCAAAGACACTGCACTCGTGTGTGCAAACACACACACACACACACACACACAGAGTTAAAAGTTTAAAAAAAAACTTTGGGTTTTTGTTTGTTTGGGGGTTTTTTGTTGTTGTTGTTGTTGTTGTTGTTTTTGGAGACAGGGTTTCCTGTGTAGACCTGACTGTCCTGAAACTCTCACTCTGTAGACCAGGCTGACCTCGAACTCACAGAGATCTGCCTCCAAGTGTTGGGATTAAAGGCATATATCACCACCTCAAAGTTAACATCATTTCGCTCACACCTAGAGGATTCTAGACCTCCAGTATGAGATGCCACAGAGCCCGGTAGAGCTTAGGTTGTTGTGAAGCCTAGTGCTGTGAAGATAAATTAAGTCTTAAATATAAAAGCACTAGACTAGAGAGATGACTCAATGGTTAAGAGCACTGGCTGCTCTTCCAGAGATCCTGCGTTCAAGTCCCAGCATCCACATGGTGGGTCACAACTGTCTATAACTGTAGTCTGATGGAATTCAATGCCCTCTTGTGGTGTGCTGATATACATGCAGACAAAACACCCATGGACATAAAATACATTAAATAAAAATAAAAGCAAAAGTACCAACACATAACAAGCCCCCAGCAGGTGCTCTTGTTTTCCAGTGTAAACACGCCGTGTGGCTTTATCATTGTGCTATGAAAAGACATCAGAAGGCACAGGAAAAGTCGCAGCAGCCACGTCCTCTGGGTTCCCATCTTCCCCACAGGGATGAACTCACGTTAGACCATCTCTGCTGCAACCTGAATCTTGGCAGCATATGAAGTAATAGGCTTCCATAGCTCACAGTTCTGGAGACCCAAGAGCATGGTGCCAGCCTCACTCAGCTTCTGGTAAAGGCCCCATGCTGTTCCACACATGGAAGGAAAGTGGGAGAGAGGCTGCTGCAAACCAACCCACAGCTCTTTTGCCCGATTTCAGGTAGAAATCAAGAAAAGGCAAACACTGTCTATGCAGGTTTCCTGGACCTTGTGCTGGAGTCCTAGGGAGACAGTGTACAGGACAGAGCTCCCAGTCTAGTTTGCTCCTCCAGGGCGGGGAGAACTTACAGTCTGGGGGGCTCAGTATCGCCACCCAAGATGGTGCTGCAGCCTGGCATTCTGTGCAGACAGTTTTTATGGAAGCAGGTGACATAAACGGGGCCATCCTAGGGTAGCATCCTGCAAAGCCTTGCAGCCTGCTAAGGAGTGCAACACAGTTGGTGATTCAGCCGCTCTTTGTTCCACCTCAAAGCAGATGTGTGCAAACCAGCAGGCTGTGTGGTAAAAGTAGAGGCTGAGAGGCTCCGAGGTTAAAGTGTTCGCTATGCAAACGTGAACACCACGTTCAGATCTTCAGAAGCCACAGAAATGCCAGGGCAGCATGGTAGTCTACGGTATTTCAGCTGTCTGGAGGAGAGACAGGGATCCCTAGCCAGCTAGACTAGCCAAATTGACAACCTCAGGCTCTGAGAGAGATCAACAAGAGACCCTGCCTCAAGGCATAAAGTGGAGAAGACAGACAACATCAACCTCTGTCTTCCACAAATGCTTGCTTGCTCACTCTTGCATGAACATGTGCGCGTGCTCTCTCTCTCTCTCTCTCTCTCTCTCTCTCACACACACACACACACACACACACACACACACACACAAGCATATTTTTTTTTATAGCCAAGAAAGTAGTTGGGTGTGGTAGCACACACCTTTAATTCCAGCAGAAGCAGGCAAATCTCTGAGTCTGAGGCCAGACAGCCAGGACTACAAAGAGAAACACAGTCTCAAGAAAAATAAAATCCAAGAAAGTATGAACCAACAGGAGAACAGGAAGGAGCCAGTTCCGGGTGCCCCAGAGAAGGCCTCTGTTTAATACCAGCAACAGGGCCCAACAGTGTTAAGCTCTTTCTCTTGGTGAGAAGCATGGGGGATTTCCTCACTATCCAAACAGGAACATACTCTAGAGGCACAGGAGTGAGGGTGGGGGATACCTAAGCGTTGTTCCCTTTCTTCCCTCCCACATCTCTCGGTCAGGGTGCTACTTGAACCAGGAAACGTGTTTAGACACAATGCCTCTGTCTACGCTTACCACTAACTAGTCAGGGTGTGCTCTCGGTGTGATCCCAGGTGACCAGCCGCTACAGGACTACTTAGAAATTTGTTAGAACCATCTTTGCTGGGCATGGCGACATACACCTGAAACCCCAACACTCCAGAGGCTGAGGGAGCTAATCAAGAATCTGAAACTAACATGGGCCTCACAGTGCATTCTAGGTCAGCCTGGGCTACACAGCAAGTCTTTGTCTCCAAAGAGAAACAGAGACAAAAATAGAAATAGAGACATAGAGGCAATCTTTTTTTTTATTTTACATGTATGAGTGTTTTGCCTGAACATATGTCTGTGTACCACAAGTGCCCACAGAGGACAGAAGAGGCCATTAGATTCATGTGACTGGAGTGTGTGAGCCACAGTATCAGTGCTGGGAACTGAACCTCAATGTTCTACATGAGCAGCGAGTGTTCTTAACCACCGACCACCTCTCCCATGTCCCGAAGCCTGCTTTGACCTCCCCCAGATCTGCTACCTCAGAAACACAGCAGAATTTTATCAAGCCACTGCTCTGTGCACATGTGTTTGTCTGTGACAGAGTCCTGCTAGCTTTCAACTTTCCATCCTCCTGCCTCAGCCTCCTGAGTGCTGGGAGTACAGACACCAGCAGTCTGTCAGGATTGTTGGGGACTTTGAAAAGACAGTCCAGAAGAGCCAGAGAAAGCTGTCTCAAAACAGAAAAACAAAAAGAAAGAAAGAAAGAAAGAGAGAGAGAGAGAGAGAGAGAGAGAGAGAGAGAGAGAAGAGAGAGAGAGAAAGAGAAGAAAGAGAGAGAAGAAAGAAAGAGAGAGAAAGAAAGAAAGAAAGAAAGAAAGAAAGAAAGAAAGAAAGAAAGAAAGAAAGAAAGAAAGAAAGAGGAGAAGAAAGAAAAAAGAAAAGGCAGTTGATGTCAGCACTAACTGAAAACCTGCCGGGTAAGGGGAATGTGAAGCCGTGAGGAGCAGGGGGCCTTCAGGAGCGGGTTGTGGGGCTGAAGGGACTACTGTTCCACAGACTTCCCAAGATTCTCCACTAAGTCCCACCCTCTCCCCAGGCTCCCTAAACCTCAGCTTCCTCCTGGAACTCTTGGCCAAACTCAGATTGCCTCACAGATTGCTCTGACCCTATCCCTCCATCCCTTACCATCGGTCCCATGCCCATCCCAACCCGTGTACTTCTCTGAGCTCTGTGAGACAAACTCCCCCTCCCTAGCCATCCCTCAGCGTAGTCTTCAGCTCCAGAAACCCGCCCAACCCACTCCAGGCCTGACAAAGGTGACCTAAGCCTCCCACTGCCTTCGGGACCCGACCTCCTCCCGCACGGGGCGGAGCTCAGGCCTGCTCACCGTCAGGCCCCACGAGCAGCAGCGGCTGACAGTTCTTGCCCTTGTCGTGCCAGCACACGTCAAAGAAAGGGTACACCGGCCCGGGCAGGCGCTCGTGGAAGGAAAAGAGGGGTGCAAGCGCGTCGGCGTCACTCGCATCATAGAAAGCCAGCACGCCATCGGCGAAGCTCAGGTAGAGGCCGATGCGCGCCGGCCGCCGCTCGGGAGTGCGCAGTGCCCGCGGCTCCTTGGCCTCCACGTGCGCCTCCAGGACTTTGCCATCGCGCAGGCCGAGCAGCCACAGGCCCTGGGAGGGCACCGCGTGCAGCCGGCCACGGCGGGGAGCGTCAGCCGCCATCACGCCCAGGGCCCAGCGCGGCTTGTCGCCCACCTCCACCTCCCAGTAGTGCTCGCCCTGGGACAGCAGCTGCTGAGCCACCACCGCCACCGCCTTGTCGAACTGGCGCGTGTCTTCTCCCGCTGGCGGTGCCTTCTGCTCCGAGCACTCCACGCGGCGGCCGGAAGGGGACACGACCAGGCTCGGGTGCGCAGAGCTGGGGTCAAAAGTCAGTTCCTCCAGATCTGCCAAACAGACAGTGATCAGGCTGGCTCTGTGGCGCCTTCCTGCTCCCAACTTAGGGACCTTAGAGTCCTCTCACCCTCCCCACATCCATACATTTGCGCAACTGCACAGTAAGGCACATGGTGGGCAGGACTGGGGAATTCCAAATGAGTGGTGTTTTCTGAGGCCCCCCAAAACGCCCAAGGTCCAGAACAGGAGCCAGGAAGCCCAGTTCTGTCTGGCTTGATGTAGTCTCTGGGTCTTAAAAGTTTATTCTTGAATAAACCAAAGTTCTATTCATTCCCATCCCCACTTGGCCCAGAGACAATAAAGGCTGTCCATCCTGTCGGCATCCAGAAATGTTAGCTCCTAGAAGAGGAGGCTGAGCTCTTGGCTCCCAGTCACAGGTTCCCAGAGGCAGTGTCAGGTGCAGTATTGTCCCCAGGGTTACAAGGACGCTACAAAACCTCAACCCCCCCAGCCAGCAAGAACCATCATCTCTATGGTCAGAGAAGGACAAGAACTGGCCAAGGATCAGTCAATAGCTCAGGCCCCGCCATAGCAGCGCTCCTGGGGTCAACTGGGTGCTTTCTGAGTCTTTTACCCATTGTAAACTCTAGGTCCTCACGGCTTAGGGAACTGCACAGAAGAATCTAAGAGGCACAGTGTAGCTTCTTCCATGGCTTCCTGAGGCGGGGCTGGGAGGTCAGCCCCTGTGCCCTGTGCCTCCCGTCAACCCCACAGCTATCCAAACCCAGAGCCGCCACTCTCCGTACCTGGCATCAGAGCCCGGAACATCTTCTTCCACACCTGGAATTTGAAGTCATCTGAGATGATAGGCAGCTGGATATCCAACCTTGCAGGTGGTGGGGACTCGGACAGGATCTTCTGCAGCCTGGGTAAGGGGGTGCAGAGGTGATGGTCGGGGTGCAGACAGAAGGAATTACTCCGGGGACAAGAGGACACAGGTTGTTGGAGGGGACTTTCAGGATCGCCCCACATCACACCCCTGCCTTAAACTCTTCCACTAAAACGTCTACTTGGGAATATGGAAACTGTGGAAATGGATGAAGATGGCAGCTGCACAGCGGGAATACGTTGCTACATTGTGATCCATGCTGTTCCTCCTAGCATCTGAGACGTTAAGCTCGTTAGTTCCCGCCTGCCTACATTGTGAGTTTAAGCCAGCCTGCACTTGCATGTTACTTCCCCAACCCCGGCCCATTCCTCCAGGATCCAACTCCACTGTCCGTCCTTCTGGGGAGTCTCCTTTGACTCCCCCTGTCCCTACCAGCAGTCTTGAAATGATACCTGTGACCTGTCCACATCTGCGGCACCATGGCACCAGTATATGAGGTCCCCGGGCGTAAGGACCAAGGCCGTTTCATTTCTGTGTTCAACACAGTGCACAGAAATGAGGTGAAAAGCACTTTGCAAGCAGAGGGTGTCCCTGGAAGACTAGGGCAAGCAAATTCAGTCAAAGAAAGAGACAGGCTCTCACCTGCTGGTCACCAAGCAGTATTTCTGGAGAAAGAGAAAACAAGAATGGAGATAAAGCAGGGAGGGGGCTCTGGAAAGCAGGGAGGGGGGACTCTGGGAGTTCTAATGGTGAAAGAGACGACCAAGGATGTGGGGTCAGAAAAACATAAAAAATCCAGGACTCAAAGCCACTCATGGATATTAACTTTTATGTGAACAGAAAAAGGTGCCCTTCCTTATCCCAGAGCCATACATTCACCTGTTAGAAGATGGTCCTAACAGACTCACAAACCTGTACCTTTTAAGGCATGAATGGTTCCACGTAGACACCTATGCTCTATCTACTCTGAACAACATTCAGAGACCCAACTCTGATATGAAGTCCTAGCTTATTCCTTCACTGCTGTGGGCTCTGGGGTCCCTATATGACAACAGGATGAGGTCTCTGGAAACTGAGCAGGGGCCAGGAGGCAGGGAGGGACGGTCCTTCAGTGCTCACCATGAGGAACTCTGTCTGTGGCTTGTCAGCCACCTCCTCCAGAACCTTCTCCATCTGCCGCAGTTGCTCCAGGTAGGAATTCAGGCTTGACAGCTCCCGGCGCAAGGCCACTCCAGCCTCACCCCGCACCCTTTCCGCTTCACGGTCCAAAGAGCTTTCTAGGGCAGCCAGGAACACCCGCATCTTCCCCAGCTGCTCCCCAACAGCTCCCCGGAAATGACGCACGGTCTCCTGGAATAAGGTTGAGAAGATTCTTGCCTGGCGATCCTCAGCCTGGACCAACAGATCCTACAGGCTCTGCCACCCTTAGCCCCCTCACCTCCACCTCCACCAACTGGTGCTCCAGCACGGCCACGCTTTTCTCCTTTCGCATGCATGCCTCCTGCAGCTGCAGCTTCTGTTGGGGAAGCTGAGTCTACGGGACAGGATAAAAGCGATGCTAGGGATGCCAACCCGAAACACAGCCCCCTTATCTCACCATCTGTACTTCTCCCCTCAATGACAGCTCCTTCTCCAGCCTTCTGCTTAGTCCCCAGTCTGTTTGCAGGCCTCCGGGCCTGGCCATACTTCATCCTCTGTCGCCTAACTCCCCACTGGCCTTACTTTCCCCAGTTAACCTCAGTATAGGTCCTTGCAAGGATCACAGACAGGACCATCACCAGACTGGAAAATGTAGCACGTGCAACACAGCAGGCTTCCAGAGATGAGTAAAGGATTCATGAAAACAGAAATGAAGTAGAGGATGATCGGGCATGTCTGTAACCCCAGCACTGGGGAGACTGAGGCAGGAGGATCACAAATTTGAGGTCAGTCTGACCTATGTAATAGTACCCTGTCTCAGAGAAGTAAAGAAGGAAGAGGAAGGAAATGGGGAGGGGGAAGAGGAGGAAGAAGGAGGAAGAGGAGGAAGGAAGAAGAAGGAGGAGGAAGTGGAGGAAAGAGGAAGGAAGGAAGGAGAAGGAAGGAAGGAAGGAAGGAAGGAAGGAAGGAAGGAAGGAAGGAA